TTTGGGCCCTTTTGTAGGGAGGGGACCAGAGGTATTCAGCAGCCCTTCTGAAGGCTCTCCTTGTTGGCATTGCATGGCCTCCAGAGCAGTCCCATGCTGTCTCTGCCTGCCCAACAGACAAGCTCAGGTTCTGGACCAGAGGCTGCTGGGAGGCCCGATAGAGATGAGGGAGCCCAGCAGAAGGAAGTTGACGGAAGTTTCTGGGCAGAATAATAACAGCATGCTACATTCCAGCCACAGCCTCCCTGCTGTGCCTCCCCCAAGCACTTTGCACATGCAGTGCAGACCAGCTGCCTGGGGGCCTCCTGGGTCTGAGCCCCCACTTGCAGGGACTGCTGTGCGCATGCAGGCGGGGGCATGTCTGTGTCTGTGTAATTAAAAATGAGCATGCATCACTTCACCCAGCGAGGAGATGCCACCACCTCGGGTGGGATGCAACAGCTGTTTGCTGGCTGTGTTGCTGCCCTGCGACAAGCCTGGCGTGGGGAGGGAAGAATAGGACTGGGCAGCTCAGGGTGGGTGAGGGATACCCGGGGACCCTCACCCTGAGGCAGGAGATATGGGGGTGGGGTGGGGACACATCCCTTTCTAGGCCCAGAGCTTGTATAGACTTGTGACCTAGTCCTTGGCCCAGCCTCATTGCCCCCTCCCCTTGGGAATTTGAGGCCACCTAACTCTAGCTTCTGGGCAGCCTGAGGTCAGAATCTGCACTTTCTCCAGCCTGGGCCTGACCTCCTCTGTCCAGCCCCACCACCACCAAGTAAAGCCAGGGCATAGGCTGATACTTTGAGAGCAAGCTCAGGTCATCTCATGTCTCCCCTCCCTCTGATTCAGTAAGACCTGCCACTGAAGGTACTATAGGCCATATTAGGAGACCTTGGCCCAGCACACTAATCTGACCCCTTTACAAATCCCTGAGCTGAGTGGGCTGAATGCTTGCTGAGCCTGAGGAGGGGAGTGTGTGGTGTGTTTCCAGGATGGCCAAGGCAATGGCACCATGGCAGCCTTGTGTGAGGTTGATGAGCTGCTCCTTTCCATGTCGGCCAGCACCACTCGGTGGGTGAGCCAGTGTTGGTAGGAAAATGCTGGTAGCTGAGGTCCCCTGGAAACTCTTGTATCATGGGTAATGTCTCAAGTCCCTCCTTGTTTCTGTTTGTGCGAAGGCAGTGGGAGAGAAGCTCTGGGAGGTATGTCTAAGGGACTGGAACTCCTGAGTCTAGTTTCTAGGAGTTCCTTATGTCACCTTGGCATGATTAGCTCTGGCTTCTTCCTGTTAAATGGGTAAGATTGTACGTGTCTGCATCTTCCCACCTTGGAGAGGACTTTTATGATTTCCTTGAGTCTGTGTATGGGAGTAAACTGTTTTGGGCTTTGGCCTTGTCAGATGGCCAGTGGCTTCAGTGGCCAGAACAGATTTCCCTGACCCAGTAATGTTTTCTCAAGCCTCTGGCTACCTGGGCTGTGGGGGACAGTGTGTTTAGGGCTAGGAGGACTTCAGGCCCATTTAGGCCCCTTAGCAGTACCAGCCTAGTGTAGCATTGAGCTGGTGTCCTTGGCCATCTATGGTTGGCTCACCAAAGGCTCCCTGTGTCTAGCTGGGGGAGAGGCAGCTGGCCTTGCCTTCCTCTGATGATTTTCCAATATTTACCATCTCATCGACACGCAGCCCCAGGGCCATAGCTCCTTCTGTGCAGTGAGGACCTGAGAGCTGGCTGTGGCTGTCCTTCTTCCTTCTGAGGCTGCACCTGGCTGGGAGAGGAAGGGCTTGTCCTCTCTATCAGATCACTCAGGGACAGGGCATCTGATAGTTCTGTCCCCTCACCCTCCATCGTAAACCTCCACTCGACTCACTCTTGCTCAGTGGTCGGAGCTTGGAGGGGAGAGGGGTCTTCCAAAAGGAGGTGCAGGGACAAGTATAAGCTCTTCCATGCCTGCAGGCCTGGGTGCCCTTTTGCCTTCTCCCTGCCCCTTCTCTGTCTCTGAGTCTGAATTTTGACAACAACTGGCATGTGTTATGATTTGGTGCTGAACCGTCAATGAGATTTTAATTAGCTCCATGACTCTTCACAGCAGGAGAGGACAGGGGCCTCAACGTGGCAAGAGGAGAGGCTGGGCTTGGGCACAAAGCTGCCTCTCTGGGGTTTGGGGGCAGGCTTGGGCAGCTAGCACTGCTGTGTGGGACACTATGAGGAAGGTGGGCTGGGCAGAGAAGGAAGGGCTGTGTAGCCAGGCTACAGTTTTCTTTCCCTGCTCTGTTTCCCCCGTTCCTCTGTTCTCCCCGATGGCTTTGAGATGAAGGCGACAGCAAGGATGGAGGATACAGTTTCCATGGCAACAGGGCTGTCCACAGCCAGGCAACTTCAGACCTGGGCTCTCTGGAGGAGGCAGATGCGCAGAGCAACCGCAGAGCTGCGTCCTGCCTGCCAACAAGGGGACTGGCAGAGCAGGTGGCACAGGGTGGCTGCCTAGCACTACCCACCCTGATGCCTGGCCTAGAGGGGAGTGTGGAAAGAGCACTATTCTCTCTTATCCTGCCACTCCCAGGTTCATCTAGAATGGAAACTAGAGAGGTGGCTCAGGTGCCAGAGGTAGCTGTTGTAGAGTCCTCCTTATTCCTGGACACTCTAGATGGACACAGGCTCTGGTCTCTGGAAACATTTCCAAGAAGCAGCTGTCTATAGCCCCTGAATGATGGGCTGCCAGGTGCCCCACAGTCAGCCACTCAGCTGCTGCCCTTTGGACCCTTTACCCAGAACATGGGGATGCTGGTGAAGGCTATTCCCTGACTGAATTTGGGGGATCTTTTGTTCCCTCTGGCCATCAGGGAAGGTCCTGGACCTTTTTCAGGGAGCCTTCTTGACCCTGGCCCTGGTGACTGAGCCCAGTTTGCTGAGTGGGGTTCAGCAAACAGGCAGATGCCTTCCCCCAGGTGGTGGCAGTGGAAGGGCCTTGGGCTTGTTCATTGTCTATTACCTGCTTTCTAGACTTGAGGGCTTCTTACTTCCCAGTGTTGTGTTCTTGCTTAGCCTCCCCTGTGGCCCAGAGCTGGGTGGGTATTCACATACCCATAGAGTAGGTGGGAAAGTTGAGGCAGCCATCATTATGTTTAGAGATGGGGGAAGGAGCCCTTCCCAGAGGCTGGGAAATGCTGTTGAGAAACCATCTCTACATACTGTACTCCTGGTCCCCACAGCTGCCCCTGATGAGCCAGGGGGTGAACTCAAGGAGGGCCACAGAAGACCCAGGTTGGCAAAATTGGCTTCAAACAGAGATCAAATTGACAACAAATCAAAAGATAAGATGGGAAGCAGAGTCGGCAATGAGTTTATGTTAATAGAGGATGAACAGCTCAGAAAAGGAGGATGAGAATGGTTGCACAACTAAAAGAATGTAATCAGTGTCACTGAATTTATGTGTAGAAACTGTTGGATTAGTTATGTTCTATGTACATGCTCAACGATTACAACTATACACACACACACACACATATAAAATGATGGTTTTCTTCACTGATCCTGGAGGTGTCAGGACTAGGGCACCCCACCCTTCAGGGAACAGACAGAGACTTAGGATGAAAGGCTTTGTCTGGGTCACTCATGGAGTTAGTGTCTGAACTGCTGCTAGCCTCTGGGCCATGCTGCCATGCTTTCCCCCCTACATGGCTTCCTGGACCAGTCTTTCCTCCAACTGGCTGCTTAAAGGTCCTGGCCGCAGAAACCTCTCAGGCTAACTCCTCTTTCCTTCTTTCCTGTGGGCTCATTTTTTCCCCTTTTCACTTCTTTTAATTAGTAGGGGTTCCTCAATCCCAGGTTGGTTGGACAGGCAGACAAGTGGAGTCCTGGAGTAGCTTCTCCTGCCAGGCGATAAGTCTCTCATTACCGCCAAGTGGAAGGCTCATTTCAGAGCTCATGGTGAGAGCCAGGCGGGTGCTATAAATAGCCATGTTGTGAAAGTTGGCGGGTGAGCCGTGACAGGGCAGGGGCTGCACAGTCATCTTGGTGGGTAATTGCATTCCATCGCAGGAAAGGAGGGTGGGCTCAGAGCAAGAGGCACTTGACCCCTGTTTTGGTTGCTCTTGCCTACCCCAGGGCAGCTTCGGCATGCATCTGTCCCCCGCTTCCACATATACCAGGGTGGGGGGAGTATTAGGCTCTGTGTCTAGGCAGGGGGGAGTAGACTGCCTGTCTCAATTCTTCAGCCCACTCGGGAGGGTAATGCTCATTGCTAGACCTACTTGGCCAGGCTGCCTCTCCAGCCTGGAGTTGGCCAAGTCCTCCCCCACAGCTTCTCTTTGGAGCTGGGCTGCTGAAGTCCTGGGCCCAGGTGCAAGGAAAGGGAAGGACCAACCACATCTTACAGCCTAGAAGTTGGTACCGGCGTAGGCTAGCAGCATACTGGGAACAAAAGGGGCATTTAACTGGCCTGGAACCCCTTTCCAGAGTCTGTCAGTAACATGTCTGTAAGGGTAGGGACTAGAGGCCTATAGGTTGGGGGCACTGGCCTCTCTGGTCAGTCAGCATTGTCCAGGGTAGGGATCAGGATTAAGGGTCTTGGGAAAGAAAGCCCAACAAGTCACACCTTGCTTTGGCTTAGGCACCTGGGACCATAGTCACAGGTCCCTGTCCTGATGTGGTCCAAGGGTGCTAAGCTTAATGGCTTTATAAGACCAGTGCTTTCTTTAACAAAAGACTGTTTGGTCCCATACATATGCAGAGGATTAGTAGTGCTAGTTTCCTGGGTTCACACTTGCTCTAGGGCTTTGTCCCAAGGATTCCTGGATCCTCAGACCACCACTTCCCTGAAGTATGGGGCCCTGCTGTTAGGGTGTTCTGCTTGTGCTTCCTCAGCAGGAGTTTGGACTTGAGAGGGAGATTGGGATGGGAAGTAGAGCAAGTTCCCCAGGACAGAGTAAACTATTAACAGTTTCTGGGGTAACCCAGGAACAAGTTGGTTGGGAGCCCTGTAAGAGGTCATTCTTCCGTTTACCATTCTCTGGCTAGGAGCGGAAGCTGTGTGCCCACCCTTGGTTGGAGATCTACCAGCAAGACCAGATCCATTTCATGTGCCCATTGGCACGGCAGGGAGACTTCTATGTGCCTGAGGTGAAGGAGACAGAGCGGAAAAGCCGGGAGCTTGTGGAGGCTGATGCCTTGATTGATGGCACAGGTACAGGACACAGGAATTAAGGGTGGGGCCCTGCCTGGAGCCCTGAGGATGGTTGAGGAGGCCCCTCTTCTGGTCTGGGTTGGCACTGTGGGTGTCCAGGCTCTGCTTGGCAGAGGTAGAGAAGGGAGATAGCCTACCCCTAGGGCCCACACAGGAGCTCTGGTAGCATAGTGCCTAAGGCATTTGACTGCTGACCAGAAGGCTGGCGGTTGAAACCCACCAGCTACTCCTTGGAAGGAAGGTTGGGCAATCTACTTCTGTCGTGATACTGCCTTGGAAACCCAAGGAGGGGTCACTGTGAGTCGGGTCCAACTCAATGGCACATAACAACAACAGGGGCCCACATGCAAAATTGTTCCTAGACATGTGGATTCACATAGATAGGGAATCATACACGTTACCCCCTAGAAACACAAATACAAAGACCCTGACCAGGTTCTCTTAAGGTGCAACAGGGGTACCTTTAGAGACACAGATCACAGACAGCAGGAATCTGTGGCTGCTCTGAAGGAATCACTTGGGTGGGGCTTATCAGGAAGTAAAATTGGCACTGAATCTGGAAGGTAAGGAGAACAAGGTGTCCTATCCCTAGTGAGCTCCAGCCAGGGCCAGCTGCTTTCTCCCTGTCAAAGCTAAGGGATTCAAACAGGGGCAAACACCCAGCTAGAGAGCAGGCAGAGGGGAGTCAGGTGGGACCTGCAAGGCAGTGGCCCCACCCAGAGTGAGTGAGATCAGACCCCTGTTCTTTCTATCAGAGCCAGCCCATCCACCTACAGGCAGCCTTCATATTCCAGATGAAGGCCAGCAAGTTTCTTACCTGCTCTCAACCCACCTGCCTGACACTTCCATGACCTCTTATAATCCCATAGCTGTCCCTAGGAGTAAAGAGGCCTGATGATGACATCCCACATGGTCTCAGGGAGCCCAGCCCTTGGCCATCCTGATGGCGCCTGGTGTGACTTCTAGAGGTCCGTGACCTCGTGGAGTGTAAGGGTGGGAGGAGACAGGCTGTCCCTCTTCACCTCCTTCTTTAGGAGACTCCCTCTGCCCATCTAGTCTTTAGCAGCCAAGGTCACTCTAGAGAGACATGTGTTGGCGGGGGAGGTACTGGGAGGCAGTCTCTACTCCCTAGGGCCTGTGTCCAACAGAGTTAACTTCATCTGCCACTTAATTACCTCCATGGGGCTGCTCCCACCCGCCTGGAAGTGCCCGGCAGACACTCTCTAGTGTCCCTTCTGTGGGCACAGGATGTGGCACAAGGTCAGCAGGTCTAGACAGTACCTATGGCAGGAATGGAAAGAGCCTCGACTTTCCTGTAACCTCCCTCTGCTGCCTGGTACCTCCTCCTTGGCCCACCCACCCAGCTTCCTTTCCTCCAAACACTGCCTGCCAGGGGTGTTGAAGGACTGCTTGACACCCACTGCAGCTGGCTGTAGCCACAGCTCCCCACGCCTCCAGCTCCTTGGCCTGTCCTCCTCTCCAGCCTGCCTGCCCACTCCCTGGCATGGGGACTATGAGGTCTTCCCACTTGATAGGGCCTGTCCTGACACCCAGGGTGGGCCCTAAGTGTCTGCCCACCAGGTGCATGCTACTTGCACAGCAGTGTGTGGTGGACTGCCCAAAGCCTGTCCCTGCCTGCCTCCCCACTGGGGCCCCGACTTGGGCTAGGAGGTGAAAGGGGGTGATTAGCTGCCTTGTGCCTGTTATTACATTGATGTATTATTTAGCTCCAGAGAGGCGATGAATATTTGATCTCCTTGCACTGGCTGTGGGCAGGGGAAGGGAGGGACTGGGGTGAAAATGGCAGCAGCATGTCCCTGCCTCAGCAGCCCTGGGAATTGAAGTGCTGCCCTGCCTTGTCTGGCATCTCTACCCCCCTCAACCACAGGCCCAGTACTCTGGGACCTGCTTCTATGGAGATCTTAGTGGGCTGGAAGAATGCTGCTTCCCTGGCTGGGGCTCCATTGCCAGAAGTGTTCAAGCATGCCCAGGAATTATCCTAGCTAGCTGGGTCCTGCCTGAAGGGGAAACCCCTGGGCTCTGTGCTTTGAGCATTCCTAGCTTAGGAGCTGGGAAGGAGGAGGCTGCTAGCTGGCAAGCAGCCAGGTTCCTGTACCTGGGGTCCCAGGAGAGCCATTGGGTGAGTGGGCCAGCAGGACATGACATTTTAATGGGGCCTGGGAGAACCTATCCCCCTTCTTCCTTCCTTCCAGGCCTGATGTTCTTGGAGGCACTGATTATCATTTAAAGATTAAATGAAGGGAGTCCTGCCCCAGGGTCAGAGTGGTGATTTGCAATTCAAGGCTCAGTCTCTGTACATATGCCTCCACCCATTGCATGGCCCCCACCCCTGGGAGCCTTTTCTGGGACCCCAATAAGAGGAGGGCCCCTGAGCAAGCAGCTCACTTTACCTCTGCCACGGGGGCTCAAAGGGGATCCTCTCAGGATTGAGGGGCCTGGAGGAACAGACCCCAGGTTTCCCCACTCTTACCCCAAGCCCCAGTTGAGGCTCAAGGAAAGTACCAGGGTCCAGTCCAGATGCCAGACAATCCTCAACTGTGCTTGGCCCAGGGCTCCATCACCATGGAGATGGCCACTCCGTCTGCCCCAACTAGCATTCAGTGCCCCTGAGTGGGGGAGAGGGACTTGAGAGTGTGTGTGTGTGTAGGGGGGCAGGACATGCAGGCCAGGCCCTTTCTCAGGGCTCCCCAACCACCAGCAGAGTGCTCTCATCGTCCCCTCTTCTGCTGCCTGTGGCACAGGAACCACCAGTAAATGGGATGGCTAGGGGGTTGACCCAGACATAGAGGAAGAAAGCCCTTAAGAATGCTAGCCGTCTTCATTCCAGCACCTTCCTCCTTTCAACTGGTTGAGCAATTCTCAAGGATTCTCTACCCCATTCCCCCTATGCTGTGGGCCAGGGCCAAGAACCAGCTGACTTGCTGGACATGTCTGCTCCTCTGGGAGCCCTGCAAAGGGGGGGCAGGCATAGGCCTCCTGCTTCATTCTCCATTCCTCTTGCCTTACGGGCAATGTTATGTGTCACTGGCCTTGGACAAACCACCCCTCCAAGCCTGAAAAGGGAGGGAGGGGGCATACTACTTGATTGTCTTTGTTCTACCCACCACCCTTCACCTCTGGACTGAGTGGCCCTTAATGGCCTGGGATAGAGGGGAGGCAATGGCTTTGTGCAGGGAGCTGAGGCTAATTCAGGGTGGGGAGAGGAGTGCATAGCGGCTGCCTTCTCTCACTCTCCATCTCCCTCTTCTTTCTCCCCGCCCCTCTCCCTCTCCACTGTCTGTGCAACCCTGCTGGGGCAGAGGGCAGCTGGAATGAGCCTCCAGAGCTGGGGGCAGCTTTATTATTTATGAGCTGGTATGTGCTGAGTTGCTGGCCTGGCGGGAGAGTCTCTGCCCTCTCCCTGAAGGAGGTCAGGGATCCTGGCTCCTGCTAACCTGTGTTCCCCCTTCTGGCTACAGGAGCTGACACGAGTGACACGAGTTCTGTAAGTCTGGATGTGGGGCCTGGCAGCCGGGAGACTTCAGCTACCACATTGTCTCCTGGAGCAGGCAGCCGAGGCTGGGACGAAGGTGACACCCGCAGCGAGCACAGCTATAGCGAGTCGGGCGCTAGTGGCTCCTCCTTTGAGGAGCTGGACCTGGAGGGCGAGGGGTCCCTGGGGGAGCCACGTCTGGGCCCTGAGGCAGAGCCCCTGGGGGCCCACAAGTGGCCCCGGGAACCCAGTACCCCTGAGAGGGGTGAGGAGTAAAACCAGGGCCTGCACCCTCCCAGGGTGCAGCTGCTGAGAACTGAGCAGACTCTCTGGTACTTCCTCCTTCACCTCCCTGGCCTGGGCCTGGGCTGAGTCCAGGATGACCTGACTCCCTGCCCCAGACCTATAGCTAAGCCTTCTCACTGCCCTCTTGGCTACCAGGGCCAAAGGAGCCAGAGACTGTTTTCTGCACCAGGGGCTTACCACCCCTATTGTCTTTTTTCAGACTCACATGGAACTTCCAGAACCCAGAATAAAACAAATGGTTTTCCTGTTTCACCTGGATCTGTGCTGTGCATTTGTTTGTTTGCCCTACGTTGGGGAGCCCTGTAGCTGGGAGGAGGCAGGCAGAAAAACAAACAAAAAACTCACTGCCACTGAGTCCATTCCAACTCATAGTGACCCCCATAGGGTTTTCAAAGCTATGGAAGCAGATTGCTTCATACTTCTCCTGTGGAGCAGCTGGTGGGTTCAAATCACCAATCTTTTGGTTAGCAGCCAAATGCCACTGCACTACCAGAACACTCTTCCTATTACAAGGAAAGGAAAAAATGTGGCCAGGTGCCCTGTGATGGAGAGAAGGCATATTCCACACCCCTGCTCTTTGGCCCCACTTGACAGTTACCCTTGATTATAGCAGCCCCCAAAGGCTCCCTGGGGCTGCCAGGAGGCAGGCAGGAGATGTAAGAGCTGATTTGGAGGGTGCCCTCTGGGGCTCAGGAGTAGGAAGCTCACAGCTTGCCTTTGTATCGAAGGGATGCCTTTGTGTCTAAGACACAAAGGTGCCAATGCTCACCAATACTTCCCAGCAGGTGAGGACATCCCTGCTGTGTTGCGTACTGATGTGCGTGATACACACACATGCACATGCTTTCCGTTCTGTGTGTGCAGCCATGTTTGGGGCTGCTGTTACGTTCCAGGGTGAGCCTGTGCTGGAGTGGACAGCAGGCTGTGATTGGGTCTGGGCATGATATCTGTGTGGATGGCTGCATGGCTGTGTGACCGTGTACAAGTGTTGCTGTGCTTTGTATGTCTAACTATGTAGTTGTGTCATAGGAGTGTGTGAAGATGGCTAGTTGGGAACATCTCTGTTAGAGCTTTGTATACAGTTAGTGTGTGGCTGTGTCTGTGTGTAAAGCTGTGTGCATGTGACTACGTTCACGTTAAAGCTGTGTATCCATGAGTACAGCTATGTATTGTGATTGGGTGCATGTATTCAGCTGTGTATATGTGGTTATTTACTGCTGTGTATATGTGATCACGTCTTTGTGTACAGCTATGTGTAAGGCTGTGTGAATGACCTGTGTGCATAGCTGGGAGTGGTGGCTGTGCATGTGTGTGTGTGTGTGTGTAATTACGTGTCCATGTGCTGTGGCAAGATTGTGCAGTCCACTTGCTGGGGCTGTGCATAGCCATATCTGCACATAAAGCCCTGTGTCTTTTATGAGATTGGCCTTGGTGAGTGGGCTGGGAGTGTGGCTGGGATCACTATGTGGCTCCTCTGACTTGAGCACCCTTCTGTTATCAATCCCTCCGCTGCTGGGGCCTGGCCCACCACTCACCAACCCCAGGGAGCGGCACTCTGCACCATCCAGGAAGGAGGAGAGCAGTCAGTGGTGAGCCAGAGCTGGAAGACTGTCTGTCTCCCCAGCCTTGTCTGACAGTTCTGAACCCTCATCCCACTGCCACCTCGCCTCCCATTAGAGATTGGGGTTGTTTGAGTTTGGCGTGACTATTTTGTTTCAAAACAGTTCTTTACTGAGCAATGGGGTACTGGGGGTCTGTGTCCAGGGAAAATCCTGCCCTAGGTGACCCCCTCCCCCAACTCCCACATGCACATGTAGTGGGTGTGCTTAAGGGGCCTGGGCTTGGCTTGTGCTCATTAACGTGTCTGAGCTAGCCTTGCCTCCACTGACACCTGTGGAAGAAGGGGCAATTCCAGGGGACTATGTGTCAGGATGTTGTGCCCCTTCAGCATTTTGTAGTGTGTGTGTATGCTGGGAGCAGATAGCACAGGCTCCAGTTAGATCTAGGTGTAGATCCCCTTCTCAAATCTTCAGCAGTATGGCACTACAGCTGGAGTATCCACCACCCCCTACCCAGGGGCGTCCTCCATCCTAGTGTAGGAGGGAAGAGTCAAGAGTGTCATCTCAGAGCTGTCCTCCCTCTGCTCAGGCTTCAGCTTCAGCTTCCACCCACACAGCAGTCAGTTCCAGGAGCCTTTTCCCAGCCCCCTCCCCTCTTTGATACCCCTGTCAACCCCAGAATGTCCCTCAGTGTTGACCTTACTTAGTCCGGTCCTACTACCCCCATCATACACAGGTTGATCTATCTCTGCCATAAATACCTTTGTACATGAGATTGGGGCTGGGGGCTCAAGCGTAGGTGGTCAGGGCTGGGTGTGCGTGTTGGAGGGGGGTAAGTAGCAGCTTTAAAGGTCATCTGCAGGAAGGAAGGGGAGGTCCCATCCTCCTCTGCCCTTCCTCTGATCTCTTCTTCCTAGTGACTCAAGCCCCAGTTCTCACTTGGGTGAGAAGGGCAAAAGACATATGCTCCTACCCCAGACCTGGCATGTAGATGGAGCTGCAGTCGCTGGTTGGGGAGAATGGCTCTAACCTATCTCCCACGTTCCCATATACTTATTCCCCAATGTCACTCCTTGACCCTAGGACTAGCATCTCCGCTCTCATAGATGAGAACCCATAGAACTATGTGCATCGTCCGGGGCTCAGTGGCCCCGACCTGGTGTCCTGTGCCCGCTGCTTTCCGGGACGCAGACCGTGGGGCAGGCACAAGGGGCCGCGAGGCACGAGCTCCGACGCAGAGCAGGAGAGCTTGAGAATTCAGCACCACGCGGCGGACAGCTCCGGTCCGGGTGTCCAGGCGAAGAGCCGGAGTCGGAAGCTCTGGCTGAGGAGAGGTGGAGGGGTCCAGGGGGAGGCGGAGGCCCAGTTGGGAGCGGGAGACCCGGAGTAGGGTGGGGTGGGGAGCGAAGGAGGGGCTGGGGGCGGGCTGGGGCCGGGGGCGGGGCAGCCGCGATTGAAAGCTGTGGAGCGAACGGGCGGGCGGAGAGCGCAGAGCCGCGGAGCAAGCGAGCGAGCGAGCGAGCGGGAGCCGGAGCCCCGCGCCTCCCGCTCCTCTCTCTTTCTCTCCGCGCCAGAGCCGGGCGCGCCAGGTAGGGTGAACCTGTGGTGCCGCGGCCACCACCAACCTTATTAGTCCTGACCCGTATCCCGGGGACCCGCGGACCCTCGAGTTCTGGGGCTCCCGGACCGGGACGTGCAGAGGCGTCCAGATGGCGTTCGTCGGGAGCTCCGGGAAGCGGGAAGACAGCCCCGGGCGTCCCGCCTTTCTTCCCCAGAGGACGCGCGCCCTGCATCGCGCTCCCTCGCTCTCCCAGCTCTTCCTGCTCTTGCGTCCTTTGGACCGTCTTTCTGTATGTGTCCCCGTCTTTGTCTCAGCCCCTCAAGATTCTCTTGCTTCCTGCCCGCATTTTGTGGCCCTGGTACGGGGCTGGCCACCTCCAGGGTTCTGTCCCCCTCTGTGCCTCTGAGCTACTGTCTGGGCCTCCTCTGTGGAGAGCTTGTGGTCTTCACTGGTTTTGGTGTCAGTCCCATCTCTGTCCCTATCCCCTTCAGTGTTGCTCCCCATCCCTGCCTCTCTCTCCTTTTCGCCTGGTTGAGCAGCTTCTTTCGGTAGGGCACTAACAGGACCCAACACCCTGGCCTGGGCAGCCACGGGGGGATTAGCCCTAGGGAGCTGAGGGGAATAAGTGAGGAGCCCCAGTCTCTGTGGCCAGAAACTGGGACCCTTGAACTAGTTGCTGTCCCTTCTTCAGCCTCAGTTTCCTTTTTGATTCCGAGGAAAGATGTGCATCACTCTCCCAGCCTTTCCAAGCCTGCATGATTGTGGAAGCCTGTGTGGGGTTGATGTCTGGAAAGGCAACTGGGGCAAATATGACAGGGTGCATAGTGGAAGAGGGAGGGAGAGAGAGAGAGCGAGAAGGTGTCTCTGAGGGCCAAGGCCAGTCTGGACAGGGCCAGCACTGAGCCTGAGGTTGGGGAGATTAGAGATAGCGTCTTTCTCTGCTTGGTTCTGAGCTGAAGAGAAAACTGAGGCACAAACTCTCAAATAGCATTCTACATAGAGCTGGGGAGTCCAAAATTCACCTTCAGCACTGTTTTGAGATTCTAACCAGATGAACGCTTCCCCTACTCACATCTGCTTGCCCTGTTGACTCAGGACTTGTTGGCACTTGAATGTCCCTTCCGGAGGCCAGCCCCTCTACTTCATTGGCTTACCCCCCAGGGCCTAAGGTCTCCAGTCATCCCTTGATCAGGAAGCTCTGGGCATGACATTTTAAGAACAGAGGCTGGGACCCTTGGGTGCTCACTTAGCTTTCAGTCTCCTGAGGGGTTGGAGACTGCCCCCTTAGAAATTTTCTCCTCCCTCTTCTCTGGTGGGTCTTTAACCAACAATGCTCCTTCTTTGGAAATCCAAAGCTAAAGATGGGAACTGGATCCCTGCGCTTATAACTGACATGGCCTCTGGTCAAAGTGTTGACTTTGAGGTCTGGGTGTGTGTGTGGGGGGGGAGGGGTTGTGCAGAATCTCAGGCACCTTGATTCACAAAGGGCTTGATGTTGGCTGGGGTCTCTTGTCCTTCCCTTCCTGCTTTCCTCCCCCTCTGCTGAGTTGATGGGCTTAGGGCTCATCTCCAGCCCCGGGGCAGGGCAGGGCTGAGAGGCAAGCCCAGGAAGTGTCCCAGGAGCTGCTCAGTCCACTTAATGACACTACTATTTCCCCAGGCTCCTGAGTCCCTGGGAAGGGGGTGTTTAGGGGGAGGCAGAGTCTAAAGGGCAATCACTCCCAGTTTCCACATCTTCTGGTCTATCTCTCTGCAGGAGTTGAGCCCCTTCTCATCTCTCTTCCTGTCTTTTCCTGGCCCTTTTTCCTGTTCCTGCTTCTCCCACTCGACCTTTGCTGCTTCTACTCTCATCCAGTGGAGGTCCAGGTCTGCTGGGCCCATCCTTCCCCTTCCAGGCCATGGGATCACTGCTAGGGCTCCTGGCACTGCTGCTACTATGGAGCGCTGTGGCTGAGGGCCCAGCCAAGAAGGCACTGACGCTGGACGGGGACCTGGTGCTGGGAGGGCTGTTCCCGGTGCACCAGAAGGGTGGCCCGGCAGAGGAGTGTGGTCCAGTCAATGAGCATCGCGGCATCCAACGCCTAGAGGCCATGCTTTTCGCGCTGGACCGAATCAACCGAGACCCGAGTCTGCTGCCTGGCGTGCGCCTGGGCGCGCACATCCTCGACAGCTGCTCCAAGGACACATACGCCCTGGAGCAGGCGCTCGACTTTGTGCGAGCCTCCCTTAGCCGTGGCACTGATGGCTCACGCCACATCTGCCCCGACGGCTCTTATGCTACCCATGGCGATGCTCCCACTGCTATCACTGGTGTCATTGGCGGCTCTTACAGTGACGTCTCCATCCAGGTATGGTGGCAGCCACCCGAATGGGGGCTGGGGAGGGAGGCAGGAGACAGAGGTCCAGAATTCCCACTGAGCTTGGACTTGGGGCTGCCATGCACTGAAATAGGGACTTGAAGCTTCCTTTGAAGCTTTTTACAGAAGACTAAGAAACTGCCCCTCACATAATGGGGGTCGATTTTTAGAGATTGTGTAAGGAGAACACCCCTGCTGTCGCCCTCCCCCCACCATTTACTATTATTTTACTGTTAAACAGCTATGAGAGACTTAATAGGCCAGTAAGTTCTCCATTCTGTGCCTCAGTTTCCTCTTTACCAAATGGTACTCTTAAAATTTCTATGCAAAGGGTTGTGGTGGAAATTTGATGAGGGCATATATGCAAAGCATGATAAAAGGGTCCTAACAAGTCATAAGGGCTTAATCAATATTAGTTGTTATTGTTATTACTGGAGATCCGGTGGCATATTGCCTAAGGTATTTGACTGCTAACCAGAAGGTTGTTGGTTCAAACCCACTAGCTACTCCACAGAAGGAAGATGGGGTGATCTACTTCTGTAAAGATTTACCTCCTTGGAAACCCAATGGGGATGACTGTGAGTTGGAATTGGCAGAGAAGTTATTTTTATTTATTTTTTTAAATTGTTATTACTAGCCCATTTTATAGGTTAGGAAACAGAGGCACAGTGGTAAGGTGGTCACAAAGCAGAGATGTGAACCCAGGGCTCTCAGCTAACACCTCCCCATTTGTCAGATCATTTCTCCTTGGGCTGGAGAAGAGCCATTCAGAGAAGAGAAACAGAAAAGTGGGGTCCCAGGAGAAAGGGAAGCCAAGTGTATATGGGGGTATGGAATTAGACTACTCTAGGTCCTTGGGGCACAGGATTTGAGTGGGTGAGGAGGTGAGGGAACCAGACTTCCTTCCCCGTAAACCTGGGGTCCAAACTCCTAGATGTGCAATGCTTTCCCACAAGGGTGCCCTGTTGCTCAGCTTCAGTGGAGGAAGCTGCTCTAGCTTATGTTCTTTCCGGCTCTTAGGCTGTTCTTTGGTGCACCTGGCTGCTTTAGCTCAGATGGAATCTTCCCTCTCCCTGACTAGGCCCCACTCTCTGTGCCCAGACCTTTATCTGTTCAGTGCCCAGCATAAGCTGGAAGATGAGGCCAGACCTAGATCAGGAGGAGTGCAAGGAGAACCTTGGCTGGGGCCTCCTTCGTTTAGAAGGCTGGCTGAGGGCATTGCCATCAGGGGCAGAGCCAAGAACCCAGACCTGGAATGTTTGTCCAAGGGCCATGAAGCAGGAGTCTGAACCATGGAGTCAGCTTTGGGCCTGGAGAAGGAGGTACATTACCTGTCCTCACAGTCCCAGCTACTGGAAGTGGCCAGGTAGCAGCTTAGACAGGTGTGGCTGTGTCAGCACTGACATTTGCAGCCCTGCCTGGAGGGCCGGGATGGATGGGTAGCCTCCCACCTGCTGATTGTGGGGCACTTTCCCAGAAATTCCCTTAGGACCCCATGTATTCATCCACAGGGGCCCACTTATGCCCCCTTGCCCTCCTGTTCCCCCGCTTCAGCTGCTTGTCTCCTGTAATGGGGTCCATACCTCAGGATCGACCTGCTTTCTCCTTGTCCTGGTCAATGTGCAAGACCCAGGCCTCCATCTGTAGGCTGTGCCTGCCTATTACTGGTTCTCCTCCATTTCTGCCTTTCTCTCTCGTCTGTTCCCTTACCATCTTCCATTTGCCAGGCTCTGTGGCCTCACATGCATGATTGCTTTTATCCTCTCAGCCTAGTGAGGCAGGGATGAGAAACTAAGGTTCAGAGAAGTTTTCTAACTTACCACAATATGAAGTGTGGGAGTGGGGAGTGAGGAGCTGTCAGAGTCAGAGCCGGTCTTCCCAGCTGCAAATACATTTACTCCTCACTTATTGACATGGTTAGGTCCCAAAGACCAGTTCATTATGTGAAAAATCTGCATTATGCAAAAATGGAGGATGATCACATCGGATCACAAAATAGAGGATGACATCATTAAGTAGCTACCAAATTACATCATTACATAACTGCCAAAGCATACCATTATGTAACTGCCAAATTGCATCATTACATAACAGCCAAATTACATCATTACATAACTGTGAAACCACTGAGAATCATGGCCCAACCAAGTTGACACATAATGTGAACCATCACAGTGTTACTCTTGCCTTGCACCTTGGCATTTATTAGTGCCAAATGTACATTGTTAACATACAAAATAGTCAGTAGATATTTTACTATTGTTTCAAATGTGAAATGTCAGATAATAAGACAGTTGATGAGTGAGGAGTAGGAGGACAGGATCTAGCCATTTTCTGTGTGACCTGGCCATGGCCTGCATTCATCTGTCCGCCATCATCCTACCAGGTCCTGTGGGTGGGCCCCAGGGACCCAAGGGTAGGGGGTGGATGCCAGGCAGTGAGTAGAGAGCAGGAAGCATTATTTTTGTCAGACTCAGGCACCCAAAGAAGACCAGTCCATGGGCTCTGAGTGCTGTGGACCCCTGAGGTCTGAGCCTCCCTCCCTTTGGTGCCTTTTCCTTCTACTTTCTCCATCATCCAGTCATTCAAGGGAAAGGTTATCTGCCCCCAAAGTATAGAACATAAGAACCATGATCATCCCAGATGCCATTGACTGCCTCCCTTTGTCCCTTGTGCGGCCAAGTGCCTGCCTCTCTCCACCCCAGTGGTCAAGCCTTCCCTTGGCTCCCCACCTTTGCTACTGGCTGTATTTGGAGAGGGACAGCAGAGGAACTTGGGGGCAGCTGAGACTTTGGTTCCTGGGCTTTGGGTTTTCTTCCTCCAAGGCTTTGGGAAGGGATAGAAAACTCCCTCCTCCAAGGGGAAATACACATCAAGTCAGGATGGCAGTCTTTGGGGAGAGGGTGACTTCAGGGCTGATCTCATGGACATTTGACCTTGTAGGGGACACATCTGTCTCTAGTGTTTGACCTGATTTCAGATCTTTGACCTCTCTACCACCCCCCTCCAGGTGGCCAACCTCCTCCGGCTATTTCAGATTCCGCAGATTAGCTATGCCTCCACCAGTGCCAAACTGAGTGACAAGTCCCGCTATGACTACTTTGCCCGCACTGTGCCCCCTGACTTCTTCCAAGCCAAGGCCATGGCAGAGATTCTCCGCTTCTTCAACTGGACCTATGTGTCCACTGTGGCATCTGAGGGTGACTATGGTGAGACGGGCATAGAGGCCTTTGAGCTAGAGGCCCGTGCCCGCAACATCTGCGTGGCCACCTCGGAGAAAGTGGGCCGTGCCATGAGCCAGGCGGCCTTTGAGGGCGTGGTACGAGCCCTGCTGCAAAAGCCCAGTGCCCGCGTGGCTGTCCTGTTCACCCGTTCTGAGGACGCCCGTGAACTGCTCGCTGCTACTCAGCGCCTCAACGCCAGCTTCACCTGGGTGGCTAGCGATGGTTGGGGAGCTCTAGAGAGTGTGGTGGCAGGCAGCGAGGGGGCTGCTGAGGGTGCCATCACCATTGAGCTGGCCTCCTATCCTATCAGCGACTTTGCCTCCTACTTCCGGAGCCTGGACCCCTGGAACAACAGCCGGAACCCGTGGTTTCGCGAGTTCTGGGAGCAGAGGTTCCGCTGCAACTTCCGACAGCGGGACTGTGCAGCCCACTCATTGAGGGCTGTGCCCTTTGAGCAGGAGTCCAAGATCATGTTTGTGGTCAATGCAGTGTACGCCATGGCCCACGCGCTGCACAACATGCACCGTGCACTCTGCCCCAACACCACCCGCCTCTGTGACGCCATGAGGCCTGTCAACGGGCGCCGTCTCTACAAAGACTTCGTGCTCAATGTCAAGTTTGACGGTAATGGTGCTGGCCCTCAGACAGGGAGGGGAAGCAGCCTTCAGGTCCCATTACTGGGCTAAGGAAACAGAGCACAGAGAGGGCAGGACTCTCACAGGGAGCTGATATCAGAGCAAGACAAGGATGGTTAGGCAGAGGCTCCAACTGGAACCATGGCTAGGGTTCCATCTTCTGAGATCCTTCCAGAAAGTAGACATCTGCCACTTTGAGGTCTCTGGCTCCTGCTTGTACCTTATCCTGTCCCTCCTGCCTCCTTATCATACCACAGATAGAGGCCAGGGGACCACAAGCCTACTTCTGTGAGAGTTAGAGTAAGTGTGGGTTGAAGGTGAGAATCAGGGTGATGCTCCATTTATAAGGAAATTTGTTAACTCATAACCTTGAATTTCCTCTTATGGTGGCCAGTTTCCTCAACACAAAAAATTAAAAATGCCAGGTTAAAAAAAAAAATTACAAGCCCCAGAATCATCATCACCTTCAAGAAGAAGTCATGGTGGGAACAGTGGGAAAGGATGCCAGGACTCAGAAGGGCTAGGAAGCACTGGCCCAGGGCTAAAACTTAATAATAATTCTAGTAAGATTACCATCAGTTACAATAGGGTCAGGGTAGGAATTAGGGTTGGAATCTGGGGTCTGATTGGGTTGTTGAAACTAGAGCAAAGCTAAATTCAGTCTCATAGGCTTGGGTGGGGTTTATAGTAGGGCTGGAGTTGGATTTTGAATGCTGAGATTGAGTGGGACCTGGGTTTGAATCTAAGCAACATCACTTGCTCACAGGGCCTTAAACACATCATCTGCTTGCTGAACCCTGATTCCTTCTTTCTTTCTTTCTTTTTCTTTTTTCAACTGTGCTTTGGGTGCAAATTTACAAAGCACCCTTGTTTTACATTCAACAATCCATGCACATCTGATTTCATGGTCCCATTTCCGTCTTCAACCATAAAAAACTCTCCTCCCCTCTCCCCCCTGTGACCACCTCCTCTGTGTACCCTTCTTATATATGCATTACTGTCTGTCCAGTTTCCCTCTATGTGAGTGCTACCCCTCTGGTAGCACTCATGGATGATTGATCCAAGGTGTGCATCTCCCTAGAGTAGTAGGTGGGTGTATCGACCTGGGGCAGGTGTTCTGTATACAGGTCTTTTACTGTTGGACTGAGAGCCAATCCATGTACGTGAGTTCACTTCTAGGCCCAAAGGGTGACCTGGGGCCATAGTCTCAGTGGGTCCACCAGTCTTTTTTCTGACTGGTCATTTTTGTATTTTTGCATTTTGTGCCACATTTTTCTTCCCAATCTATCCAGGATCTCCAGATTTGATCCCTTTCTGAGTAGTTGGCATTGGTAGCCAGGCACCATCTAGTTCTGGTCTCAGGTCATGGAGGCTGAGGTCCTCATCATCCATCTTATCTTTGGACTAATTGTTTCCAGATGACTTTGATTTTCTTCACTCTTCTTTGCTCCAGATGAGAAGAGACCAATAGTTGCATCTTAGATGGTTGCTTGAAAGTTTTTAAGACCTAGTCACTACTCATCAAAGTAGGCTGTAGAACAAAATTTTATGAACTACGTGTGCCAATTAAGGAGCTCCGGTGGTGTCGTGCCTAAGGCACTTGACTGCTAACCAGAAGGCTGGTGGTTCAAACCCACTAGCCATTCCTCGAAGGAAGGTTGGGCAATCTACTTCCATAGTGATACCATCTTGGAAACCCAAGGAGGGGTCGCTATGAGTTGGCTCTGACTCCATGGCAGTGTGTTGCATTGTTTATGTGTCCCAATTGAGCATGATGTTCCCTGAAACTGTGGTTACGACCTCCCAGGCCTGGTGATTGTCTCTCACAAGATCCTTGGTTGTCTATTCAAAGTTACTCCCACCCTGTCTTCTGTTGCTTCTGTAATGTATGTGGCTAATTTTGTAGCACAAGTGCATATGTAAGATTATCTTCAGCCAAATCTATCCTTGGTCTAGGGTGTGTTCCTATTCGCCTACCCCACCTGTTCTTCTCACCTGTCTATACATTAATCCATAGCCTGGTATTTGGTGCTAGTGATACTGCAGTGTTGTGCCTGTAATAGTGTTTGCCTCTGTTGTCTATATCTTTTGTTTACATTTCAGTGTCTTGCCTTTCCCCAGTGTCACCATGCTGGTCACAGATTCTTTCCATACCATTCCTCCCCTCACCCAAATCAACCTGTGGCCCCCAAATAGTCTGAGATTTTCCCTCTCCTTCCCTCCTGTCCTCGGTAACCAACAAAGTGAGTTTCCTTCCCTGAATAAACTTTCCTTGACTTTTTATAATAGTGGGCTCATACAACATTTGTCCTTCTGTGATTGAATTATTTCACTCAGCATAATGTCCTCTAAATCCATCCATGTTCTGAGATGATTTGTGTATTTTCAGTGTTCTTTAATGTTGCAGAGTATTCCATTGTGTGCATGTACCATAGTTTGGTTATCCAAACATCTGTTAATGGGCGTTTAGGTTGTTTCCATCTCTTTGCTATAGTGATTTGTGCTTCAGTGAACATGGGTGTGATATGTCTGTTCATGTTCTGCCTCTCACCTCTTTAGGATGTATTCCTAGTAATGGAATTGCTAGATCAAATGGAATTTCTATTTTCAATTTTTTAAGGAAACACTATACCATTTTCCACAATGGTTATACCATTTTGCAGTCCCACCAGCAGTGTATGAGAGTTCCAGTCTCTCATGCAGCCTCACTAGCATTTGTTATTTTCTGTCTTCTTGAACTTTGCTGTTATTTCTGGGGTGAGGTGATATCTCATTGTTGTTTTGATTTGCATCTCTATAATGGCTAATGATTGTGAGCATTTCTTCAAGTATTTGTTGGCTGCTTGTATGTCTTCTTTAGTGAAGTGTCTTGAACCCTGATTTCTCACTGGGACCCAGGATGATGTTAGTCCTTGCCCCTGAGCTTGGCTGGGAGATGTGAGGGGATGGGGGGGTGGAGAGTTGACTTGATTAATGTGCTGAGCACATTCTAAGGAGCGCTGGTGGTGCAGTGGTTAAGCCATTGGGCTGCTAACCAAGAAGTCAATGGTGCAAACCACCAGCTGCTCTATAGAAGAAAGCCTTGGAAATCCAGTTGGGGTCGCTATAAGTCTGAATCAACTTGATGGCAGTGAGTGAGCACATTCTGGTGAACGTCAGTGGTTACAGGTGACTGTTGAGTTCACAACTCGCTGGAATCCATGTTAGTATTGGTGGGGGCTAGAACTGGGGTTGGCATTTATGGGATTAAGTGGGACCAGGCTGAACCCAAGGCTAAGTTTAGCTTGGACTCTCTGAGTTAAATCTGGGGAGAGGGCTATGTTGTGTGTTGTGATGAAAGTTATGGGTTGGCATCTGGGTTGGTGTTTGACTTGGGAATGGTTGGAGACTAGGTCTAAGATTTGGTGTAAGGGGTCGTGGCTGGGGATCACTGTAGGCATTAGGCTTAGGGAGACATCTGGGATTTAAGGTTGGGGTTATATTTGGGGTCAGGTTGGTGAGGACTGCAGTTTGATGTTGGGGCTTAGGAGGAGGAATTTGTTATAGCCTCTCATTTTGAAAAATGGCTGGGATCAAGCAGGGCTTTAGTTTGAGTGGGGATTAGAAAGATCAGTGCTGGCCTGAGCTCTGGTGTTTGAGTTCCATGTTAGAATAAGGGTTGAAATCACATCAGAGTCACCTACCAATCCAATCTTTTCTTACTTCCCTTCCCTACTCCCAGCCCCTTTCCGCCCTACTGACACCCACAGTGAGGTCCGCTTTGACCGCTTTGGCGACGGTATTGGCCGCTACAACATCTTCACCTACTTGCGAGCAGGTGATGGGCGCTATCGCTATCAGAAAGTGGGCTATTGGGCAGAAGGCCTGACCCTGGATACCAGCCTTATCCCATGGGCTTCACCCTTGTCCGGCCCCCTGCCACCCTCTCGCTGCAGCGAGCCCTGCCTGCAGAATGAGGTGAAGAGCGTGCAGCCAGGCGAGGTCTGCTGCTGGCTCTGCATCCCGTGCCAGCCCTATGAATACCGGCTGGACGAATTCACCTGTGCTGACTGTGGCCTGGGCTACTGGCCCAACGCCAGCCTGACTGGCTGCTTTGAGCTGCCCCAGGAGTACATCCGCTGGGGCGATGCCTGGGCTGTGGGGCCTGTCACCATCGCCTGCCTGGGCGCCCTAGCCACCCTCTTTGTGCTGGGTGTCTTTGTGCGGCACAATGCTACACCAGTGGTCAAGGCCTCAGGCCGGGAGCTCTGCTACATCCTTCTGGGTGGTGTCTTCCTCTGCTACTGCATGACCTTTGTCTTCATTGCCAAGCCATCTACAGTGGTGTGCACCTTGCGACGTCTTGGCTTAGGCACTGCCTTCTCTGTCTGCTACTCAGCTCTACTCACCAAGACCAACCGCATTGCGCGAATCTTTGGTGGGGCCCGGGAGGGTGCCCAGCGGCCACGCTTCATCAGTCCTGCCTCACAGGTGGCCATCTGCCTAGCGTTGATCTCAGGCCAGCTGCTCATTGTGGCTGCCTGGTTGGTGGTAGAAGCCCCGGGCACAGGCAAGGAGACAGCCCCTGAGCGGCGGGAAGTGGTGACCCTACGCTGCAACCACCGTGATGCAAGCATGCTGGGCTCACTGGCCTACAATGTGCTCCTCATTGCACTCTGCACTCTCTATGCCTTCAAGACCCGCAAGTGCCCAGAGAACTTCAACGAGGCCAAGTTCATCGGCTTTACCATGTACACCACCTGCATCATCTGGCTTGCCTTCCTGCCTATCTTCTATGTCACCTCCAGTGACTACAGGGTGAGCTGCCTGTCACAGAGGTGGGGAGCAGGACACCAAATGCTTTGTTTCCTGGTATCTCATTTAGCTCCAACAGGTTAAATGCTCATTCAGGGACACACTGTGGTGGCACAGTTGGGACTGGACCCTAGGGGAAGGTGGAAAGTTGAGTGGGGCCTGGAGAAATGGCCAGGGAAGTGGAGGAGTTAGAGATGAGAAGAGATTTCAGGACTCATGTCATCTGCAAAGCTTGGAGGAAATGAGGGTGCAGAGATATGTCCCAATGAGTAAGGGCTCTGCCCTGCCTTACTGAAGGGTCAGCTACAGAAGAGGAGACCTAGTTCTTGCTCTTGGGGAGTTCCTGAGCTGGTTGGGGTCACCAGGGAATTAACTAAAAAGTTAAGTGAGGAAATGCTGTTGACTGGTTTGGGTTGACAAAGGGCCCCCAGTGAGAGTGCAGAAGCAGGAGACATATGAGTATGTGTGTGGTATGTGAATGAAAGGCATCAAGGAGGGCTTCTTGGAAGAGGAGTACTTGACCTGGACTCTGTGAGACAGGCAGGCTTGAATAGGTAGGTGGAGGAGGTTGGGGAGGGTAGCCAATAAAGAGAGTGATTGGGGCAGAGGGTCTATGTGATCCTCCTATGTTTCAGAGGAGAGGCACAATGGTGGAAAGATGAGAAGAGGTGAAGGTGGAGCATGGTGGCAGGGCTACCAAGCCCCCCGCGATGCCTCTTGCAATTGTTCAATGCAGCAGAGTGCTTCCTGAAGTTGTGCAATATGGCACATCAGGAGATGGGAGATGAAGCCAGAGGAAGGAGGAAAGGTAAAGCAAGATGGGTAGTGGGGGAGATCCCAAGTGTAGGGCTGAGGAGGTTAAAGCAGGTGAAAACTTCATCCCAGTTGATGGCTTCCAAGCAAAGGTCCACATAGCACTGAGTTTCTCAATGGGGTCTCCCCAGGTGCTTCAGATGTGGCACTCAGGGAAGGCATCTTTGAGGAAGTGACAGGTGAGCTGAGCTCCAAATGATCATCTTGGTTAATCCTCATAACTCTGGAGTAAGCTCCATGGCTCTCCCCATTTTACAGATGAAGAAATGGATACACTCAGGGGGGTTCAACCCCTTGCCCAAGGCTACCCAGTTGGGCGTGCAGAGCAGGGTCTGAACTGACAGTCTTAACAATTAAAGGAGCGGGAAAAGTGAGGCAAGAGCCCCTGCAGAGGCCTCTTACCCCAGGAGAGAGGTGTGGTGGTGCATTGCTGGGGGCCAGGGGCTGGGCTTGGCTTCTGTGCTTGCACCTGCTGGACCACCTGCCTGGGTGGAGGAGGACAGGGCTGGGGAGGGAATCTGTTCTGAGTCAGCCTGCATTTGCATATGATTTGCATGGCAGTCCTAGGCAGCTAAGGACTCACAGGAGACACACACATGCATACCCACACACAGTTCCCACCATGGGCATGCACACACACCTATGCGTACACACATATATACACATACAGATATGCATACATATCCTGCACACTTGCAACTGCACATACACCCCCTCATACATTCAACACTCATATGTAGGCTTGTGTACCCACATAGATACACATGCACCTACCCACATGGGCTCCACACCTGTGCTCCCTCACACCCCTGTATGTACATGCATGCCTGCATGCTCACCCCCTGGGCTCAACTCTGGACTCCCTGGAAAAATAGTCCATTGGGGCTGACCCTGGGACTTTCCAGCCTTCCTAGAAATCCTTTGGGGCTTGAAAAAAGGACCAGGGTCCAGTGTTGGGAGCATCATCCTCCCTGCCCTCCCCCAAGGCCTTTGGGATGATCAACTCAGCCTTGACCTGTGCCTGCTTCCCCACCCTCAGGTGCAGACTACCACCATGTGTGTGTCAGTCAGCCTCAGTGGCTCCGTGGTGCTTGGCTGCCTCTTTGCACCCAAGCTGCACATCATCCTCTTCCAGCCACAGAAGAACGTGGTCAGTCACCGTGCACCCACAAGCCGCTTCAGCAGCTCCGCTGCCAGGACGGGCTCCAGCATCGGTCAAGGTCAGCATCCTTCCTAAGCACCTTTTCCACCTGTGCCTGCTCTTCCCACCCCAGCCCCTCAGGTATTATGGGCCACCCCCTGGGTTGTCAAAATTCCTTGGCCTTGAGTGGGGGAGTATGGTTCCCCAGATGAGGCTAGACAGGAGCAGGTGGGAGGAACCCTCTTCTGCAACCCTGCTTTCCTGCTCTCTGCCCTCCTTGGAGGACCTGGTTCAGCCTCAACCTCCACCTTCCTTCCTAGGGTCCGGCTCCCAGTTTGTCCCCACTGTTTGCAACGGCCGCGAGGTGGTAGACTCCACGACCTCATCACTTTGAGGATCCCACACCTCTGCCCCCAACTGCTTCCACATCCAGGGCCAGGAGGAAGTTGGCTGAAGCATTGCAATAATGCCCACCCTATGCCCACTCCCCACATCATCACTCACCTATCTGCCCAACTCTCAGACTCAGAAGTCAGGGTCCTCAGTCAGAAGCCCCTGCACAACCACTGACCACTCTTGCAGTTGTGTCCCCTCCTTACCACCTCAGGGCTCAGAGGGAAGCAGCCAGGGTCCTCTCTGCCCTGGAGTGGGGTGGGGGAGGGGGTGCTCTGTTCCAGGATTTCAGGCCCCAACCTCTACCCAGCAAAGGTGCTTCCAGCCCTGCTCCTGCCCCCCTTCTAGGGCCTTTTTTATTTTTTATATAAGTTATTCTAGAATGTGGGGGTTAATGTGGAGGCCCTCCCTCTCTCTGCACAGTAGTTGGTCCTGTGGTTTATTTTGTATCTTCTGTAAATAAAGTGTTTTTATTAAAAAAAAAAAAAAAAAATTACTCTTTGCCCTTAACCCAGGGAGGTTCCTCACACCTGCCACAGTCCCCAACCCTCATTCAATCAGTGTTTATTGACTCTGCTCTGTGCCAGACTCTTCTGCATGCTGGGTCCTTGTGGCCACCAAGATAGACCTATTCCTGCCTGAGTGGAGAGAGAAAGTGAATAAGCCACCTTCTCTTACAAGGAGCCACCACAGACCTGGCCTCCAGGGTGGCATAGGGGGTGGGGCAGGAGGAGCAGCTGAAGGTGATCCATTGACTTGAGACCCGGGAACATGGCCTCTTCCAAGGATGGCCTGTCTGGTGCTTGGAGAAACCATTGGTCAGCACATAGCCAGGCTGAGCATTTGGTGGGGAGGGAGCCAAGAGGAGGTCTGAGGTAGAATGCCTATCGTTAGAGTGGAATGAACTTAGCCAGACCAAACTCCTGAGAAGGAGGTGGGGGAGGCTGGGAGGGCAGAGGCTGAGAAGTTGGAGATGCCATCTGCTGTCAGGCCTGGTGATAAATTGGGGGAAAGGGATCTTTCTTTAGTCCCTGGAGCAGCTCTCGTCCAGTGGTCGAGATGTGGAGCCCAAAACCCTTGGGCAATCCTGCGTTTGCCATCTGCAGCTCACCAGTAGAGTGCGCTGAGACAGAGTCTCCACCACAGGTCTCAGGCCTGGCAATGGCTGCCCTCAAGTGGGCGGTGGACACCAAAACTAAATAAAGAAGAAGCACGTGGCAAAAAAAAAGAACATGACACCTTCAGGGAAGCCCCCAGACTGTGGTATCTCAGAGAAAAGAAGGCCTATGTTAGGAGAACTCATTTCCTTCCATAGGCTGGCAACCAAAACTCAAAAAACTCACTGCTGTCAAGTCGGATCTGACTCATAGTGACCCCTCCTTTGGTTTCCTAAGCAGTATCTCTACGAAAGTAGATTGCCCAACCTTTCTTCTGAGAAGTGGCTGGTAGGTTTGAACCACCAGCCTTCTGGTTAGCAGTCAAGTGCCTTAGGCACTACACCACAAGGATAATAGTTAGACAAATGAAAACAGAAAAATGAAAAAAGAAAATCCTAGGGATGGTTCCTTCTCCCCAGCCAACACCTCGGGTGTAGGGTTGCCAGGTAAAATACAGAATGCCAAATTAAATTTGAATTTCAGATAAACAAGGAATGATATTTTTAGTATATATATAAGTTCCATGCAATATTTGGGACATACTTATACTAAAAAAATTATTCCTTGTTTATCTAAAACTCAAATTTTTTTCTTTTTGATAATTTATTTTATTTTTGTAATTGTTGAGAATATATACAGCAAACCGTACACCAATTCAATAGTTTGTACATGTACAACTCAGTGACACTGATTATATTCTTCCAGTTGTATAACCATTCTCACCCTCCTTTTCTGAGTTGTTCCTCCTCCATCAACATAAACTCACTGCCCCTTAAGTTCCTATTTAATCTTACAACTTGCTGTTGTCACCTTGATCCTGTTACAGAGAGATCTTAAAAGAGCACAGTGTTCAAGGCAGATATTCTTTACTAGTTAAGCTAAACTACTGTTTGGTTTTAAGATGATTCCAAAACCAAAAACAAACCACTGCCGTTGAATAGAATCCAACTCATAGCGACCCCTCCTTGGGTTTCCAAGGCAGTATCACTATGGAAGTAGACTGCCCAACCTTCCTTCTGAGGAGTGGCTGGTGGGTTCGAACAGCCCACTTTCTGGTTAGATGCCTTACTCTAGGGGGATGTTTTTGGTTTAGGGTTTAAGGTATGAAGATTATCTTAGGGCAATAGTTTCAGTGGTCAATCCAGTATCCATGGCTCCTGAAAAGTTTTTAGTCCATGAGAAGTTCAAATTCTGTTCTACATTTTCCCTGTTTTGATCAGGATTCTTCTATAGACTCTTTGATCAACATGTTCAGTAATGGTAGCTAGGCACCACCCAGTTCTGCTTTAATGGCAAAGGAGGCAGTTGTTCATGGAGGCAATTAGTCATGCGTTCTATATCCTTCTCCTATTTCTGATTCTCCTTCTTCCTCTGTTGCTGCCGGTGAATAGAGACCAATTGTATCTAGGATGGTCACTTGCAAGCTTTTAAGACCTCAGGCCTCATGCAATGAGCTAGGAGGTAGAATGGAAACATGTTATTAAGTGAGATGTTAGTAACATGTTATTAACTGGGATGCCCCATGAAACCATGACCCTAAACCTTCAAACCAAGAAATCAAATCCCATAAACAGCCTCAGTAGCTATTTATGTGTGTGTGTGGTTGTAAATATATCTATTACACAATTTTTGCCAATTCAACTTTTTACTGGTGTACAATTTATTGACAGCAGTTATATTAATTGGCTGTGCAATCTTACCTTTAATCAATGTGGTTTTCCATCACCATGAACTGAAACGCAGTACTCCATAAGCAATAATAACCTTTTTTCCCCCTCCCTCCCACTTCTGGTAACCACTAATAAACTTTGGTGTCTATGCATTTGCCTTTTCTTGTCTTTTTATATAAGTGAGGTCATGCAGTATTTGTCCTTTTGTGATTGACTTATTTCATTCAGCAGAATGTCTTCTAGCTCCATCCATATTGTAGCGTGTATCAAGACTTCATCTCTCCTACTGGCTGAGTAGTATTCCATTGTATATACATACCACATTTTGTTTAGCCATTCATCTGTTGATGGGCATTTAGGTTGTTTCCATTTCTTGACTATTGTGAATAGTGCTACAATGAACACTGGTGTACAAGTATCTGTCTGAAATTCAAACTTAACCGAGCATCCTGTGTTCTCATTTGCTAGTTTTGGCAACTCTTTTGGGGTGGTCTCTGGTCTAGCTCTCTGGCACTGAATGACTCAGGCTTAGGCGTGGCCAGCAGAGGAGGCCGGATACCAGAGCACTGTGCCTCATGGGACCTGCAATGAAGCATGCTTCCACCCTCTGCTTTCACTGTGGCTTTTTCTCTGGATCTTCCTGCCAAACTGAACTGAGGGAAAATTTACCCATTCTCCCTGGCCCTGGATAGACAAGGGAGCTCTGATTCCTTCACACTCAAAAAGCAACATATTGGGTTTATTTTTGTTTGTTTGTTTGTTTTGTTTTTTTAAATAAGTAATTAACATGGTTCATAGCTAGCAAATTACAAAACATATTCTGCAAAGAAGCTTTATCCATTCCTGCTGCCCATCCAGGGGGAAGGACCCAGAGGTCTGAAGGGAGGGTTTAGGAAGGGAGTGAAGAATTCCTAAGGGTCAGTCCTTATATCTGTCAATCACACCCCTTTCCTTGTAACACACCACCCTCACTTGTGGACAAAAAAAGGAACAAACCCATTGCTCTTGACTCAGTTCCCGCTCATGGCGACTCCATGCATGCAGAGTAGAAGTGATCTGTTGGATTTTCAAAGCCGTGACCTTTTGGAAGCAGATCATTAGCCCTGTCTTCAGAGGAACTTCTGGTTGGCTTCAAACTGCAAACTATGAGTAGTTAGTAATTGAGGGCTTAACTGTTTGTGCCACCCAGGGATTCCATTTGTGGGGCAGGGCCTCCTCATTTTTTGTTTTGTTCTCTTAGCAGCTCCCTCAGCCCACTGCTCCCACCACCACACATCACATGACTTTGAGCCCCCTCCTCTGCTCCAGTGTTGTAGGCATCCTGGCTCCCTTAGGTCTCTACAAACATCTCTCAACCTTCACTCCTCAACTTTCAATCCCTATCACATATTACTAACACCAGGCCCCTCTAGTCCCATCCCCTTAGTCCTCCTCCCAGTGCTGAATGGTCTGAGTTCATGTCTCCTCTACACCACTACGGTCCAAGTCCTGGAAAGCCCTCACACCCTGGCCTTGGAAAGAGATGGGGGCCAGGGACGCTGGCTGGCCTGACTCTGCTTATGATAGACTTGGAGTCCTCAGTGAGAGAGCCTTGCCTGTTGTGTAGCTGGAGGACCAGAGATGAGAGCTGTCTTAGTTATCTACTGCTGCTATAACAGAAATACCACCAGTGGGTGGATGGCTTTATACAAACAGAAATTTATTCTCTCGCAGTTTAGGAGGCTATAAGTCTGAAATCAGGGTGCTGGCTTTAGAGGAAGGCATTCTCTCTCTGTCAGCTCTGAAGGAAGGTCCTTGTTTCTTCAGTTTCTGTTCCTTGGCTCTTGGTGATCTTCATATGGCATGTCTAGTCTATCTTTCCTCCAACTGTGCTTCTTTGCTTCCTTGCTTAATCTACTCCTTTTATATCTCACAAGAGATTGGCTCAGAACACACCCTACATGAACACTATTCATTAACATAACAAAGAAAATCCTATTCCCGAATGGGATTCTAACCACAGGTATAGTCGGATTTACAACATGATTTTTTGGGGACAAAATTCAATTTTTAACACCAGGCATTTGGATTTCTCACCCATCGCTCAGAATCACCAGTGCTTTGCTCTGCTTGGTAGCCAGTGTTTATACTGGGGCAGGGTTGCTTCTCCTACTTCCCTTCACCATCCCTTGCATTGGTCTTATGAAAACTTCA